TTATAGCTTTCTTTGTCATTTTTTCTTCTTTTATTTTTTAATGTTTGATTTAATGCACGATTAATTTATATTATTTATATTAGTTTATATATGAAATACATCAACTTGTTAGCTTTTAAATAAATTATATTTGAATATGCGAAATAGATAATTTAAATTCATCAATTTGCATAGCAGATCAATGAAACGACATTTGGAATTCCACAATTTAAGCGAAATATCATTGAAGCCAAATTGAGCCGAGTACATCGTGTTCGAACTTGTGTTCGTCTAATAAATGAACATGTTTGGCTCGAAACATTTAATAAATTGAGTGTAATCAACTAAGCTCTGCTCGTTTGAACTAAGTTTTTATTTTATGTTTTATTATATGAATGAATCACGATTGATTTTTTACGAGTCGAACTGAGTTATACTCCCTACCAAATCGGTTCTAGCAGCCCAGGGTAAAAAATATTTTTGGCTACGCCCCTGGGAGGGCCGGGCCCACGGCAACCCGAGTGGAGCTCGTCTCGGCCTTCGTGTGGCGGAGCTTCATGCGCGGGAGGCCCGGGGTAAAAAGTTTCACGGCATGCCACGCGGTGAACCTGAGGACGAGGAAGAAGGGTTTGGAGGGGACGTTCGGGAACTGCATCATGACGGCGTTCGCGTACTGCGGAGGGGCCCGCGGGCTTGACGAGCTGACGGGGAAGTTGTTAGAATAGGGGAAGAGAGTGCGGTCCCACTAGATGAAGCGCACCATAAGAGGGTGAGTCTAGGTGCACCATAGTGAGGTTCCATCCCAAAACCAATTGGTGATGGGAGGAGTAGCCCACTAGGCTTATATACTAGACTCATTTTCCCTATAGAATCAATGTGGGACAACTCACAAGTGATATTCCAACAGAAGTTGAGAGAGTCGATACGGAAGGTTGACGAGTACTACATCACTCGGTCAGAGGGGACGGGTGGGAATTCGAATGCTAATTATTTGGGGGACGTGTGCGAGTTTCTGTCCGGGGTGGGCAAGGGGGAAGTGGAAGGGTGCGCGTTCAGTAGCTGGGTCAGTTTTCCGGTGTACGAGTTAGATTTTGGGTGGGGGAGGCCAGTTAGGGTCTGCACGACGGAGCTGCCGGTGATGAACGGGACGGTGTTGGTGAAGAAGAGGTTCGGGGAGGATCGGGGGATAGAGGCTTGGGTCAACATGAAGAGGGAAAGCCTAGAGGTGCTTGAGAAGGATTTCGATTTGATTTGCGGCCATGCAGAGGATGATGATGTAGAGATCACAGAGACCTGAAAGTGTTTGTATTTGTGTTTTGTCCAAAAAATTTCCAAATTAATAAGATATGTAACTTTTTCAAGAAATGAATATATTGTAGGTGGGAACAAAATGATTAATTTTTATAAGTTACCTCTAGTTAGAATGGGATAATTCAGGTGTCAGTGGGTTTCGCTATGAACACTGAGGATATAGCAAGGGTCAATTATGGGTTAGTCCTGGGATACGTGAGATCCTTAGTCGAGATTGGCAGGTGCGAGTTTCCCACATCTTCTGTGAGTCTAATTTTGCGGCGGACTATCTAGCAATTTTGGCGG